ATAAATTAAATGTTGAGTAAAAAAATGCAATTCTTAAATAACTGCCTGTTACCTGTTGGTCTTAATAGGTGGGCTAATCAAGTGAAAATTATGACCAATTGAGCTTTAGGAAATATACTTAACATATGATAGAGAAATAAGTTCAGAGATAGGACTCCAGGGAAGAGATTTTACTCTATCTACTCTTCCTGTTTAGGCCAAGGTAGACCAGAGAGTCTGAGGGTATAGTGGGATTGGAGTACAGTAAGTATGTTTGAAATTATCAGTATGCCAAGCATGGCCAAAGTACTGATTCCTCTGACCTGCAGAAGGGAAAGCAGGAAGGCCTCCTGAAACAGGGCCTCTGTAGCATCTTAACACCCTGGCTCAGCATCTAGGCCACTTAAGGAGCTACCACCAATCACTAGGAGCAGAGACCCCTCCCCTACCTGGGTTCACATAACCCAACAACAGGGAATATCTCTGCCTCTTACCCACAACCCCAATCTCCCTTCCTGTCCTCAACTCCACCCACAGAACTGTGCCCACAGCTGTATAAGGTACCCCAGTATGCTGAAGCAAGCACAGGCTCTAAAATCAGACAGTCCCAGTTCAAGTGTCCCCTCTATGATTTAAACAATCAGTACCCAGTTTATTTCGATTGTAAAATTCATAGTGCTATGGTAAAGATTAAATGAGATGATGCAGTCAGTATCCTTAGTACTATACTTGACACCAAGGAGATTCTTCATAGATGGGAGTTATTTTGTTGCTAGAAAGCACTTAGGTACATTTTATCAAGTTTTAATGCAATCTGGTTGTCAGTGGATGCTTACTGGATACTTGGGTGTTCATTGGCTTTGTGGATGACTGCTCCTTGACAAAACATTGTAATTTGGAAATAAAACAAAGAGATGAATAGGTAGATGAAAAGATAGAGAGATAGATGTAAAATAACTTTACATTCTTTTTACATTTGTAGGTGACTTGGATTTTAACATTTTAAATATCACTTTGAACTAAGCATTTGCAACTATTAAGAATTGAATCGATAATTCTGCCTATTGAATAAGAATTGAATCAATTGCAGTGACTGAATTTTTAATTTATTGTGAATATGGCTTAATTGGCTTAAATCCAGCTGGTAATTCCTTGGCCTGAAGATATTGCAGGCCAATAGCCCATTTAGAAGTCCTTGCATGCTTTCAAATGATAATAAGCTACCCAATTTCATCTGTTTTATAACACAAATGTTATCGTTTCCCAGTGTATTATCAATGACCAACATTATATATGGAAATTATTCAAGTTCATATATTGAACTATAAGCATTGTAATAGGTTTTACTGCTTACCTTAGCTCTATGTGAATTAGGGATCCCCTAAATGGGAAAATGCTTCTGAACGTCCTTCCATTAGTGCTACAGTTGCTGCAGTTGTCTGAAGAAGTCCTGGACTAGGACACCATTTCCACAGTGGCATGTGACCTAATGCAGAGGTCCTCAAATCTAGCCATATATGTCCATAAACTTGAAGTTTTAATTTAAAAATTATTTTTAAAACTGTCTGGTAGTCCATTCCAGACTCATTAAATTGGGATTGGGGGATGAGGTAAGTAGGTATCAGTATTATTTAAAAGCACTATAGGTGATTCTAATGTGTAGCCAGAGTTGAGAACTACAATCTACCTAAAACTAAAGATCAAAAGATAGCTTAAGAGAAGTGATAGAGATTAGCACTAATTAAGGCTTCCTCTGTGATCTGATCAGAAAAATAAAAATTTAGTGACTATTTTTACAGAAGAAATCAAGAAACATATTAGGATGGAAACATATAGTTCTGGAATTTCTATTACGGAGATCTTCTAAAAAGTAACTTCTTTGGATGGAGAGTGTCTCATACTTCTTTATTACAATCTTCAGGAGAAATTTAGAGCCATCCAAGTGGACAGCAATCCTAGGCCTGCATATGACATCGAATCTGACTTCTCCTCAAACAGTCACTCTGTCGATAGATCAAATTGTCATAAACCCACTTTACAATAAACGAACAAAGAACAATGACATTGCAATGATGCATCTTGAATTTAAAGTGAATTACACAGGTAAAATAAATCACTTTTAGTTATCAAATTAATTCAAAATTAGACTTGAAATATCAGTATCAATGCATTAATTTATAAAAGTTGAATAATTTGTTTCATAAATCATTATATCATTTTTAATTGCTATGGATACATAGTAGTTGTACATATTTATGAGTACATGTGATATTTTGGTACAAGCTTACAATGTGTAATGATCAAATCAGGGTAATTGGAGTATCCATCACCTCAAGCATTTATCATTTCTTTGTGTTAGGGAGCATTCCAACTCTATGTTTTTAGTTATTTTGATACAATAACAAATTATTGTTAACCATCGTTATCCTGTTGTGCTACCGAACACTAGATCGTATTTCTTCTATCTAACTGTACTTCTGTACCCATTAACCATCCCCTCTTCATAACTTTAATGCAATTGGGGAATGGAGGGAGATATATTAAATTTCTTTCATCAAGGTGTTTAAATTCAACTTTCTAAAAAGAACCAGTAAAATAAAACTCTCAGAGTCCTCTGCAAGAGTAAACTCAAAGAAGCAGCACAGAGAAATAGGTCATGTTATTATGCATGCCTTCTCTATTTCTCTTGTAAAAGAAAGGCAGATCCATCTTCCAATAAACTGAGAGAAGAGCATATGTTCTAAGGGCAAAGTGAGTAAGAATTAGGTTATTCATAAATAAAGTTTTTTAGAGGAGATTCAGTAATAGTAAGAGTGGCAAATTAAAAACTTTCTACAGATGCTTAGAATATGTACAAAAAAAATCACTTGATAAAGTAAACTTTATCTTGAAGGGCTCTGCTCAATTCCAACCTTTACTCTGAAGTCTTTTCCAGTGCCCAGTTAGGAGGAAGTACTTTCATCTCTTTGCTTACATGGGATGCATCTATCCACGTATTACAGCACTTATCAAAGGAAGACTATTACTGTGGTTAGTTGTGTAGCCCTGAT